TTTTTTTTTTTTTTTTAAGAAACCAAGTCATAGAAAATAATATTCCAACGGTAATGAGGAAAAAAAACAAGTTCATGAAGCATTAAGGGGTTTGCAATTAGATTTACAATTCTATAAAAAAACAGACATTCATCAGATTTTTCAAATGTCTCAAACAGTCTAGATTTAAGTTCTGATTTAAAGTTAAACAAATGCTGAAAGTTAAGTTTTTTAAACATTTATAACAGCTATAATGAACGAATACCATCCCAGCATGCTCCTGCTTGTATAACTGGTTTTTAAATGACTCCAGGGGGAGAGGGGTTTACCGGGACCACGAGGGCCAGATGGAGATCCGGGCAGAGGCACACCTGGAGAAAAGGTAACTTTTTCATCATGGACGGTAACACTGATGAAAAACTGCTGCAGGAAGTTGGAAAAAGATGAATCATCATTTGTTTCGTTTCCACCATAGAGCTTTAAAAGGCTGCTTGAATTTTTAACATGAATAAAGCCAGAAGTTCAGTGTTCTTCATTAGAACACCACCCATAGTTGTCTTTGTCGCTTCTGATGGCGGGTTTGGAGCTACGAGCTTTGAGGTCTTACAGTAGTTGGGTGTTTCTTAGTAGTAGAACACCTGAGCTACCCCCGCATTCTGTCCGGGTTCTGGATCTCCTTTTAGCTTCTTGATGAATTTGTCTGGCCTCGCTGATAGAAAAGTTCTTTATCTGTTCTTTGTTTGGTGAGATGTTTTCCTTCCAAACAACCTCAGCATACATCCAGGTCACGTTTCCACAGGTTCTTCATTGCTGATGTTTGTGTTTGTTGGCCTGTTAACAGGGAGATCGGGGTGAACGAGGCTCCAGGGGACTCTCAGGCCCTCCGGGACCAGTGGGACCTCCAGGAGCAAAGGTATGGAAAAAAAAAAAAAAAAAGACCCCTCTATGCCGTTACCTTCCTCTGAAGGACCTGGGAATGAGCCTGTACCAGTATTTATATATATATATTAATGCTTGATAATGCTTTCAAACCATATTTTCTTTAATTTACAGTGTTTTTATGGTTTAAAGACCTTTTAAAAGAGTCACAGAAAATGCCGCAACAACCAGTTAGAACAACAAAAAGTTAGACCTATATAAAATCTACATTCTACTATTTATTAAATAATCTATGTAAGCTAGACTTACATCTGCTCCGACCGGGAACCAGCGGGTCATTATGAAGACGACTGATTTCAGTCATTGGTCTTTATGTTTTTGATGTATTTTTCTCTGAGCAACCTGTTCTCCTGCATTTGGTCCCTGTTTGTGCCCAGAATGGGACGAACCACCTGGATATTAGAGGTAAGGGGAGATGATCTGGGGTTCGACAGGAGCAGGAGGAAAACAGAACACTGGCTGAGAGGCCACCAGAACCGGGACGAGGCAGCCGGCTGTGCCCCCCTTCTGGAGCCACGAAATCACAACATGGGAGGCGGTGGCTTGGCAATGCTAGCTCAGGAAGAGAGCGAAGGAGAACAGTGGTTGATCAGAGAAACCTGTTGGGCAGAGAGAGCGCTGAAGTCTGGGTAGAGGCTACGGCTGGCCATGGCTAGCTATAGACTAACTGAGAATAACTGGTCTAATACTGATCCTCAGCTGTTCTCCTTCCAGCTTTCTCATAGAGGCTCTCCTCGGCCTGCCACAGCCTCTTCCTGCTCCCTGTCCCTGCTGAACTTGTCCAAATGTTTCGCTTTCCTCCTTCAGTCCTCCACAGACAGAGCAGCGGAGCAGGGAAGCAGAGGCAGCAGCTGGTCAATGTTTGGGTTGGAGGGAAGAAGAAACGGACGTTTCGGGGCTAAATGTGATAATGATGGCGCTGTGCATGGAGCAGCCTGTTACGTCGGCTCCATACTCTCCTTTACTGCTTTCTCCATCTTAGATTCTCTTTTTGGAGTCCCAACTTCTGGGACTATAGTGTTGAGCTTTCTCTCCTACTTCGGCACTTTTTGATGCTGCAATGGGGGACCCCTTTGTCTGCGACTCCAAACCCATTCTTAAGACACGGGACCACCTCCTTTGATGCGCAGCAGCCCTGCTCCCCACCACACAGCGAGACCAGACACCCCTGCAGAACTGAGGAGAAAACGGAGCGGCTGAAGGGGTGGCAGGACAGAGCGGAGGAAAAGATATTTACCATCGGTTGTCATGGGAAACCTAAGAACTTTCCGCAACAGCTTTTAACCTGCTTTCAGAGGAAGTACTGGGACATGAGTATCATGTCCTTTAGCTGGACTTGTCCCGGACTCAGCGGTTTCCCTGGACGACTTTAAACTCATCTGTGAAGACAGAACTTTGGCAGAGAGTGGATAAAAAAAGAGATGACACCCAAAATAATATTTACATGCTTACAAATCAATACAATTAAA